GTCATGTATAAAACTACTAATGAAGATGCTTCCTAAAACATATACCTATACACATATATAAAAAGAGTTAAAATTGAGTTAATCTAATAGAGCAACAAATAGACATCATATATTATACCAAATGAAATGTCTATTATCAAGAATGGATTGTGTCTTTCGGAGTTGTTGGCCAGTGAGGATCAATAGACCACCAGACACTACAAGTTGTTGCCAAAGCTCTTGGTTCCCCTTCAGAACTTGACAGTAAGACCCTGTTGCAGACACCACCACATAGTTGAGGCACAGAACATGGAAAAGTCAAGCTGGAACAGACCTGAAAGCTTCATCTACAATGGGCTAGCTCATAGTGCTGGAAGGTGTTAGCATACTACCAGAGTCATCGTCAATTTTGCCCATCAAAAAAAAAGTCAAAAAGATAACTTTTATCCAAAGATATATATGAAAATTTCATCATTATGTGTCTTCAAAACTAAAGGATTATAAATGTGTTTCTTCCTCCAAACCTTTCAGCAGAGAAGTATAAAATTGGCTTTGTATATAGGGATGTTAATTGTGGAAACATGCTATTTTTCAAGCTTATTTTTAAAATATTTTTAATTAGTTTTCCTAGGGGATGATGAGGTATTACCTAGTAGATATCTATACTGGAGTGAAAAATGAAAAGTTGTGAGGATATAATATGTAACTCAATGAAAGAAATTTTATATACCTGTAAAATGAAAAAAGAATAAAATATTATACTATATCTTTGAGAAGAGTCAATTCTTTAAGATGACAAACTTCCCTAATTTTTATTGACATTAGTTTAATTCAATTTAACAGAATTATTTTAGATTTCATCACCAATAATCAGTAGATGAGAATAGCTAATAGCTTCTTAGTATGTTTGAAAATTATGATACACTGATTTGGTTAAGATAAGTATAAATAAATCAACTCAACCAAATAGTCCAGAAACAACAATAATAGCAATTTTATAAATATTGAATTCTTTTAGTACTTGGTAAAGTAGTCTAACAAATGAAGAATGAAAGTTCAATCTAGTAAACTATGTTGGACAACTGGTAAATACCTGGAAACAAACCAAATTAGATCTTTTATGCACATAAAAAGTGGTGGCACACGCCTTTTATCCCAGCACTCGGGAGACAGAGGCAGGCGGATCTCTGTGAGTTCGAGGCCAGCCTGGTCTACAAGAGCTAGTTCCAGGACAGGCTCCAAAACCACAGAGAAACCCTGTCTCGAAAAACCAAAATAAATAAATAAATAAAGAAAGAAAGAAAGAAAGAAAGAAAGCTAGCTCAAATTAAATTAAAGGATAGAACAAAAGTTAATAAAGCCACATATTTAAAACAAAACAGTGAAATTTTCTGTATCTATGGAAGAGAAACTGGAAAACAAAGGTAGAAATCAAACATGAAGAAACCGAGTGATGCATTTCAGTACTAAAAATATTAAATAACAAACACCAAACAGAGAAAGGATATCAGCAGTATAACGAGATATGTCTATTTATTTGTGCATGTGTGTGTGTGCATGCGTGAGTGTGTGTATGAAAAGCAGTAAGATCCAAATCATGAAGTGATAAAAGTATGCAAATAGCCAGTTCACAAATGGGGAAAAATAGTTTAACAAGCACATCAAAAACAGTCAGTGCCATTAACAAAATCTAAAATATGAAAAGTAGAGTATAAATATGATAAAAAAAAGTTAGACATCAAACTACAAAAAAATTGTTTTTAACAAGAATACTCATTTTTAAGAACAATTACACATATATAAACTAGAATATATATTTATAGTAATCATTCAAATGTAGAATTTGTAATTTAAAAGTATTGAATGATTCAAGTGTCAAAAAAGAGGCTGATGTAAATGTATGAAGCTGTCAAAAAACAAAATTTGTCAATAAGAAATAAGAGGTTGGTCAAGAAAAATATGGCTCATTTACAACTTAGCTAAACTAAAATACAGCCCTTATAAAAAGAATGCCTTTAATTTATTTGTGAAAATATTACATATGGATCAGCTTTTGTTTTACACTACATGGAAATTACAACAAAATGTAATGAAAAATGTACATGCTCAAAAATATTCATCTTACTAAAATATAGAAGAAATTTTACTTAAAACTTAAGAGTAGTTGCCTTTAAGTCACAAGATTATAGATTATTTTTCCGTTGATTCCATTACCTATGTTTTCAAATTTTATATAACAAATAAGTGGTAAGACTATTTTGGCAGGGTGGTGATGGCTCACGTCTTTAATCCCAGCACTCGCGAGGCAGAGGCAGGTGGATCTCTGTGAGTTCGAAGCCAGCCTGGTCTACAAGAGCTGGTTCGAGGACAGGCTCCAAAACCACAGAGAAACCCTGTCTTGAAAAAAAAAAGACTATTTTGACAGATTGTTTTAATTCTAATTTTATTTAGAGAAAATAATTGAAAAATCTTCATATTATGAATGAAGAGCAGCAATTGTCTAAGTAGAAAACTTTTACAATGTTGAAACATTTTGTTTTCTAAAACTTAATGGGAGGAAAGGTCCTGTCTGAGAGTCACAACTGGAATTTAATCTGGGAAAGGGGAATGTACAGTTTGAAAGAACAATTTGAAGCATACAATATAAATAGGCTAAATTGAAATTCAAGCAAGCTTTCTTGGTTAATGGGAATAAACAAAATATAGAATAAGGTGGCACTGAGTAAAATGTAATTATTTTATGTTTGTTCATGAATGTATGAGTCTATTTCATTCTATTCTGTATCATATGAATCTGTAGTTTGAATTAAGAGTGCATAGTTTGCTGTACATTTTGCAAGTACCACATAGTGACAGTAAGAGAGAATGAAATGGTTATGTGTAGCAAAAGGGACACTCCAAAATAATTGAAGAACTGATCAAGGCAAAGCATCTTGTCTCATCACTCCCCAGTAGTCTGGTCATAACACTGAAAACCCACATGACAGAAGAAGAATTCTCTACTTATCTATTTTCATAGGAAGAGGTTTTCATGGAGAAATTAGTCAACAACAACTTACATTTATGCAGCATTCACCTTCAGTGAAAACTAAAATAATGAGAATTTCCTTACGTGGTACTGACACACCTGCCTAAAAACTAAGGATTCCTCTCTTCAAGATTTTACTTAAAGCAATCTTTTGCAACAACAAACAAACAAACAAACAAAACCAGATTTCTGTTTTATGTGACTGGAAGATGAAGTCCCCAGAGAATTTGAGTGACTCCCTAAAGGTCATAGCCTGGCCTCTTGTCAGTCCAAGGCTCCTTGTCATAAAGAACACAACCTGTCTTCACAGTTCATGCATTCAATTCCAAGTTGTTTGCTGAGTGCCTATTATGTACCAGGATATGTTTCTGGTACTAAAGACAATATTCATTCCTTCATGAAGGTATTTTTGTAGTAGATCTCATATATAATTAAGCAAGCTAGTAGAAAGTTTAAAGCTCCTTCAATAAAAACAATGGCCTAGCAACACAGAGAGGTCCTTTACATTTGTTAGAATGGTCAAGGGATGTATATTGAACCGAAGGTGTAAAATCCGAGTGTGGAGCAGCCATGGGAACCTTCTGGAATGACCAGAAGAGGAGAAGTCTGCTGTCTCCACCTCTCTCCGCTACACAGGCTTCTTTTCAACCTTCATTTTCCCCTTAAGGAGCATGCTGCGTAACCCACTGCTAAGCCAAAGCAGCTCATTTCACTCACCATCCTCCATCTTTTGACAAGAAAAAAAACCTAAGGATCCTCATTGGCTTTCCTTGCCCTTCTCGGGGTTCCACTTGGGAAGCAGAAAGGTCCAAGCCCACAGCTGGATGTTCAGTCCAGTGGAAAAGCAATGTTCAGACACATATAAAATCCTGGACTCTGTCCCCAACACAGAAAAATTATTTTTCCATATATTTAACTTTTAGCTTTTATGATAAATGTATTTAACAGGAGCTGAAAACTGCCACGAATAATGCTTGGACATTTTTAAAAATCAGTATAGAATGACAAACCTCTCAAACCATCCACAATTTAATCTTTATCGCCTGACCCAGAAAGTACCTCAAATTTTCGTAGTGTATCATCATGTCCACTCACTACAAAGCATTTTTTCTTTGTTTTGTTTTTATGCAGAAACGACTGTGCTAGAGTGAGGGTTTTGTGGGTTTTTTTTTAAAAAAAAACCTGCTTACAATAACGTTTGAACTATAGGACCTTCTGTAGAAATGCCCCCATAAGTACTTAAATAAATTGTCCGATAGGAGAATAATAATAAACTGAAACTCATAGCTTACTGAACATTTGCCCAGCGTCAAGACCAGTGCTCAGTTGTTTTTAAAAGCATGGAGGTATTTAATCTTCACAGTCCCTTGGAATATGAGTCCCATTTAATAAGTGAGGAAACTCAAGGTCCAAAAGATTGGCTTGCTGAGACTACAAGCTTAGAGTCTGATTATGGTAGGGAGGATTCAATCTCGCATCTGCTTTGCCGGGGAGATAGGGAGCCAAAACACAACTGCATCTAGTTCAAAATGGAGCGAAAGGCTGGCAACAATCTTGGCAACGACCAAAGTGGAACCGTTACAATTGGGTTTTCTTTCTGTACTCTTTAAAACGATTGTCAGGCCTGTCTTTTATCAGACATCCACGTTTTTAAACTCCTGGCCTCTCTTATGAAGGAAGGTAACTCAGCAGCTCCAGAAAATCCTTACTCTAGTACAGTAGAGGCTGCCACAAACACACTGGCGAGACCCAGCAGATGAAATCCCCAGCGAGCAACCTCTACCCAACTACTACCCACAACAGTGCTGAGCTGAGTCTGGGGAAGCCTTGGGACCAGGCATGAGAGATGAAGAGTTCTCAGGGTTCCTGCTGCTTGTGTCCCTGATTACCTTTACTAAAAGCTGTAACTCTCTGCCCCTCCTTCCAGGACTCCCCAGCAAGGTCAGGACATACGTGACGTGACGCCAGGCTGCCACTAGGACAATGTACTCACAAAACACACAAGCAGTACACGCCAGGAACACTCTCGCTGTCTCTTAGCAGATATCTTCCATCCAGGCCTGTGGCGAGCAATAGCTTCTCCCCCGTCTCCCGGCTGATTTTGCCATGGTACACAGTCACAGCATCCATGCCTGGTTAACTCGTGTGGGCCCAGAAGGAAGATGCTCGAAAAGGGAAACGGTGCTTCTGCTTCTGCTGCTGTGGTGGCTCCCAGTCAGTCAGCCACCTGACTCCCAGGGCAGCCAGTATGCATGAAAAGAGAGAGAGAGAGAGAGAGAGAGAGAGAGAGAGAGAGAGAGAGAGAGAGAGAGAGAGTCGAGTGCCCCAACAACAGGATGTTGTCTACCTGCCTTAGAACCTCTTCTGACACTTCAATTAAGGCCAGCTCAGCAGTTTAGCAGCTTCAGACTTGTCATGGGGGTTTGATCACCTGCTCCCCAACAGAGGGTTCCTGGTGGGGGAGGGGGAACACTGGAAAGGTTCTTGTAGTTTTGGAACTATGCCAGCAATGCAGACAGACCTTGCACAGAGATGAGAAATTTGATAATGCTTTGCTCGGTGTAGCCCCTGCAGAGCCATCAGGGATGACTTGGCCTGACTAGTACACAAAAGAATTGATGATAGAGGCAAGTGGCATCATGAGAGGCAGAAACAGCCTGACCAAACGAATACATAAAAACCACTGGAACTGCAGAACATGGCCAGGAGACTTCCACAGCACCACCAAGTATTCAAGAACTATGGACTTTGGGACTAGATCTTCTTGAACAAGCTCTCTTTTCTTCAATGCTGATGTTGGCATCCAGGACCTCGGATAAAGTCTTCGACCACTAAGCTAGTCCTTGAATAAGCATAGGCTCAAGCAAATATTAATTTTTAACTTAATATTGTGTTCATGATCCAAAAGTACCAGTTTAGTCACAAAAAAAACCACGCAATTGTGCTTAAAAACTATTCCAGATTAATCTAGCTGAAGAGTTTAAGAAGAGCACATTCTTTTATTGGTGACTCTTAGCTTTTTTTTTAATTTTTGAGATTATTACTTTTTCTTCCCTTTTTACCCTTGAAACCCTCCCAAATACTGCTCCCTGTTTTCCTACAACATTTTGATTGCATCCATATATGTATATACCTAGAAACCCTAATCACAACCTGCTGAATCTATATAATGGTATTTGTACGTATGTTTTTAGGGCTGGCCATTTGGCAGTGGACAACCAATTAGAGTACTCTCCCCTGGGGAGACCACTTTCTCCACTCCCAGCTTTACTCTGCTGCCTGTAGTTCTTGTATAGGACTACAGGCTTGTGGCCTCTTTCTGTCCAGTTTGGCAAGCACATTGGTGTTGTATGTGAACTTTTGTTTGTCCTTTCGTGTATTGGACTAGGCCCAAATCATTTTGGATATAAAACCCATTTTATGTTATTGTGTAAGTGTTGATATTGTAACTTTTTTTTCTGTTGCTCTAGTGAACTTTTTTCTACAACTGATGCTAAACTGGCATTAATTTCTTAAACCCTCTCCACTTTTTATTCTTTGATATCACGTATTGATTCTATCTCAAAATATGCTAAATAATGTTTCCCAAAAACTTTCTTCCATTCCTCCCAAATAGTACCATTTAATGCCTGAAACTGACCAGTCTCATCTGTATCTTTAGATAATGTGTGATACTTTTTGAATTGGAGTGGAAACAGCTAATTGTATATCTTCCACAGCTTTAGCCCTCAGTGCTTTGTGAACCTGGCATGGGTGGGCTATCTTTAAGAAGAATGATATTAGATGCTCAATGAATTAGATGCATAGAGTTATCCTACACCAAAAGGAAAGGTTTGAGATTCTGAATAAATCTCTATGGTGGCAGCCAGTCACAACCAGCCATCTTTATTGAAAACAGTGCCTGACTTTTGTAGCTAAAATATAAACCTGCATTTCCCACAGCCGTTTTCGATAAGAATTTTTTAAGATGGCTTTATTGAAGATGACAACAGAATAGCTCTGGGGACTGGGTCAAGATCATCTCAACGTCCTCCTACCTCATGTGTTTTTACCAACTCCTTATCTTTTCCCATGGTTTTGCTTAAGAAAGAAATTTAAATTGATCTGATACATGAATGCCTATCTCAATGTTAAGGACTTCGGAAGTTAGCCTAAACAGGACTCTGCATCTGAAAAAAAAAAGCTAATACTTTGGAAATTAATTACAATGATGGCATTTCAGGCATCAAAAGGAAGGGCATCCTCTTTTATCGGGTCATAAGGACTGCACACCACCTATCCTGCAATTGCTAGAACATTCAGAGATACGTAGGTTAAAAACAAAACCTAGCTTTTCTTTTTTTTTCTTTTCTTTTTTTTTTGTCTCTGAACAACTTGGAACAAATCATCTACAAACTTAGGAACAGAGCAACCTGGATGTGACAGCACAAGCGTGCCATGCATTCTTTTCTTTCTGTTTTATTCTGAATTTCTAAAATAGCACGCTTGTCAAAGCAGTCAGGTACAGTGGGGTTCAGCACAACTAAAATCGTATCAAAAAAGAACAGTTAAATTATAAGGTAATAGTACAACTCTCACATCCAGTACCTTATTGTCGTCTCACAAGCAAGCTGACAGGTGAGCCAGCCCACCAGCGCAGTGTTGATGAAAACTACTGACATCTTCACTGGGCTGCTACACAGACACTAAACCTGACTTTGGCAAATTCACACTTCATGCACAGCTTGAAGTGTAGAGAGCAGAGGAACTGAAACAGCTTTCTTCCTTCTCTGTTCCTGTGCCCACAATACAGGAAGACAAAGATCATACAGCAGAGCAGGGGAGATAATAGGGGAACCAATAGACAAAGAACTAAGTAATGGGCCCCATTTATGAGCAGAAGAATCTGCTTGTTTATTGCCTATCTCTTCCACTTGACCATAAAGTCCATAACAACGGGGCTTTATATGCTTTATTCATCACTGTACCCTCAGTGACTGGCACACAGTGGATGCTAAATGTGTGTGAGTGTGTGTGTGTGTGTGTGTGTGTGTGTTGTGTGTGTGTGTGCGTATTAGTGAACGAATAAATGGCTGGAATTAAAGTTGTCAAGAAAAAATCTGAAATTTTCTGTGTCTCTCTGTGTCTCTGTCTCTCTCTCACACACACACACATTCACACACATGCACACATGCACAAAATGCTTTCATATACCTTTGGCCCACCTTAGAAACCACATTGTAAATTTGAAGAAGTGTTAGTACAATAATTATAAGGTCTGAATTGTACTCCATTTTTTACCACTAACTTGCTTCCTTTCTCTAAGCCCAAGGCTTATTTTCTCCATCTGTCAAATGGAATTGAGCCAGGGGACCCCTAAGCAGTCATTTCCAGACTTAACTTTCAGTGTTCTAAACAAAAACCTCAAATAAATAAATAAGAGATAGATGACAGACAGAGAGATAGATAGTTTGACAGACAAAACTTCTTTGGAGAAAAACAGATCTTGTTTTTGTGGAAGAAGCAAGACCTTGAAGTCTTGAGAGGAGGAGGTATTTGTTCTCATTGTTTTTAAAGCAATCTCCAAAATTAAATCATACTGTAGAAAGAGGGCTTTATATTTTAAAGAAAACTTTTTAAATATCGATGCCATTTAAACCAAACACAAAAACACTGCAAGCTAGGAAACCTGTCAGCCAAGGTTGAAAGGGTCTTCTTTTCTAAACTTGTCACCTCCTGAGATCTCTGAGAAGTGACAGGATTTTGCATGTGGATACCCTGTCTGAGGTGCTAATTGTCTGCATTCCAAATGCCCTAGGCTATTCTGGAGCCCAGGTAGATGAAAAGAATGATGCCAAGGGTGGCCAGTTCTGTAGAGGAGATGCGACATTTCAGAATCTTTCTCTCTAACCTTTCAAAACTATTTTTTTTTCTTCCACTAGCTTATCTAAGAAGTGTGAATTCTCCTGTGACCATGTTATGATGTGGTGAGTTTACACATTCTCTTAGCACTAAAATTTACTTCCTTTACAAAAATAAGGAAAAAAAAGCCTTTTAAAAAGAGAGAGAGAGAACACCTCCTTTCACTAACACTGAAGTGTATGAGGCTACTTTTTTTCTAAATCCTCTCTTCAAGGAGGGAAGCAGACCCAAAGGTGCTGTGAGTATTTGTTTAAACCTGCTAAATAGATAGATTATTCCTCTAGCTACTCATGGCCTTCTAGTGTAAGTCAGGTACAATAGTTGGTACTTGTCAGAGAGAAGAAAAACAGCACCTGTCCTCAAGTAGCTCACAAAAGGATGCCAACAAACAGTTACATTCAAGCTCCTGTGTTGCTTGGTTCCCATCTGGTGGCACTATTTTGATAGAGGATAGAAATGCTAAGTGGGGGGAGGGGCACTACCTGGAGGAAGTAGGTCACTGGGCATATACTTCTAAAAGTATATCTAAGTTCAAGGTGTGTATTCTCCTTCTGTCTCCCTTCCCCTCTCCCTTTCCTCCTCCACCTCTCCATCTTCCTCACCATCTTACTCCCCAATCCCAGTCACCATAAAGTATATTACTCCTCCACACCCTTTTCTTTTCTGTGATGCTGTGCCCCACTGAGTTCTCTGAAACCATAAAACAAATTATTCCTGACTTAAATTGTTTAGGTCAAGCATTTTGTCAACGCAAAATAAAAGTAACTAATACAAGTTATGATAGAGAGGGTGGAATTCTCACAGCACAGCAATACTACACCAAGTTCAAACTGTATTCTAAACAAATACAGCCTACTTGATATGACAGTGCCTTTACCTTTCTGTCTGCTATGTAGTTACTTCCTCTACTTTGCCTAATTTTGCCTCCTCCATCTTGAATTCAAAGTACCCTGATTCTAGCCGAAATAGCAATTTCTGAACTTCTAGGCCTTATTTATCAGTATAACGTGGAAAGCTCTTGCTTGGATGGTCTGTTGTTCAGATTTCCAGGCCCAGAATTTAGATCATCAATTCTCCATCCATTCATCCATCCAAAATAGCAGAAGGAATGATCTGTTGCTAAAGCGGTCTAGCCATGTTCAATGGCACATATCTGTAGCCCAGCAATTTGCGACAATTTATTGAGCCCAGAAATGTATATCCAGCCCGGGAAACAATAGAAGGAATCT